GAAGATGAAGGAATGCAAAGCTAGGGTTTAGCACTGTGCCTGGCACATAGTAGGGCTTGTATAAAGTTGGTGGTGACGATAATGATGATGAAGATGAAGGAATGCAAAGCTGGGTTTACCACTGTGCCTAGCACATAGTAGGGCTGTATGAATATTGGTGATGGTGTTGACGATGATGATGAAGATGAAGGAATGCAAAGCTAGGGTTTAGCACTATGCCTGGCACATAATAAACTCTTGTTGATTAAGAGCTTAATATGATCCAAGCCCATGCTAAAAGCTAGACCTATAGTTACAAAAGCTAGCGCATCCCTGCCCTCAGAGAGCTTATGTTTCATTTGGGAGTTTCGGCCTGGGATGTCCCAGGGATGGGTACCCTCCAGCCCTGGATTGGCAGAGGCCCTGGTTCTGTGGATTACTGTAGCCTGGGCTTGAGGTGGCCCCAGCTGCAGACCGAGGCGTGGGCCAGGGTGGATGGCCCAAAGGCAGCCGGACTTGGAACCCCTGGAGGGGAGAGGAGTGGAGGCAGTGGCTGGGGTTGAGATGCATCCGGTCTGCCTAGGATTAAAGGGGACAAACATGCGTAAAGGGGCCTTGCAAACCCTCCCGTGCTGTTTCTCGTGGGTTATGTGAGTCTGGGTGTCCCGGTTCAGGGGCAGAATTCCCAAACTACTTGCCTGAGGCCCCCAGGACCGGTTCTCCAGCGCCACAGGGGCAGAGCAAAAGTGGCCGAGGCCCCTGGCCAGACAGGACATAGCTCAGGGGCTTAGAATGAAGAAGTGAAATCAGTTTTGCTGGGAGTGGGGATACAGTGCAAGTGAGGTTAGAAACAGACATGGGAGATTTTCACCCCTCTGAAACGTAATTCTTTAGCATGACAATGTGTCCTGCAGAAAGAATTCTGAACTGGGAATCCAGAGAGCCAGCCTGGCTGGACTGTCACTTATCAACAGGAATCCCCTTTCTGACGCTTACAAGTCGTGTGACCCCTTGGTCACTTTTTTCCCCTCTCTGAGCCTCAGTTCCTTAATCTGTAAAATGGGAATGCCATTACCACACCCTCTCCTGGTGCTTGTCAGAAAAGCATTTTCTAGCCGTGAAGGCCCTTTAGAAATGTAATTGGGGCTGACAGGGATTGCACGGGGTCTGTTCACTGCTGCAGTTTCTATGTGTACAAGTGTTTAAGTGTGAGTGAATGAGCTCACGGGAAGCTGGTCTCCTGGCATCCCCCCTCATTCATCCCCAGGCCGGGCTCCACCCAAAGCACAAATGTGACCTGGAGGGGCCTCGGTGTCTGCCCATTCACTGCCTCTGGGTAAAGTACAAACCCTTCCCTACTGGGCATGGGAAGCCCCTCACCCTGTGACTCCCCCCAACCTTTCCAGGCTTGTGGAGTGGTCCTTTCTTCTACAAGCAGGGAGAAGCATTCCTTGAGGGCAGGCCCTGCCGTGGGCCTTCTCTGTGCTTAGCTGTAATTCCTTTCTCTTAAAATATACGTCATAGTTCGTTTGTCACTTGGCCACTTCTCTACTCCTTAGAGGACTGTAATCTCCCGGAGGGCAGGGCCTGTCCATGTGCTTTACCGTTTGGCGCTAGGCTTAGCTTTGGACCCTGTGTGTGGTAGGTTTGTATTCAGTGGTGCAGGCGATGCCTGGCATCCAGAAAGCTGGATGGACTTTGGGTCATTCTATCTGGAGGGAAGGCAAATGGTGCCCGGGGGGCCTCAGCCCATCATGGTTCCCAAGGATCAATCATGCCTTCTTCTGTTTTTCAGATTCCCGTTGATCGGGCAAAGTTCTGAAGATGTTTCCCGAGGAGAAGAAAACAGTAAGTCACTTCTATCATGAAATAGTCCACAGGGAGGCCTTTTATGAGGCTACACAGACTGTCCTTGCCTATGAGGCAGATGGTACGTGGGGAAGAGTGCCAGGGTTGGTGTCCAAGGTCTGGGTTCGAATCCTGCTGCAGGGCCTTATTCCCTATGTGCCCAGAGGTGTCACTGAAGCTTTGGGCCTCAGGCTGCCTCCTCTGTTTAATGAAGGCATTGGACTAGATGACCGTGGTCCTCTGTTCTGATTGTCACAGAGCCCCTAGACGTTGGGGGGTGGTATCACAAGCCAGGCGGGGACTTGCCTTCCCTGGAGGTGGAGCTCACCTTCACTCTTGCCTGGAAGCCCTCCAGGGCAAAAACAACAGGGACTTTGGTCCTGGGCTGTCCCCACAGTCACCTCCTTTACTGCCGCAGTTTGAAGAGATTTTATTTGAGAAACTAGGGACACCTGGGGAGTTAGGCTACCCCCACGCCCAAGCACTGCTGACTGCGCCTCTGCTGGCTGGGCCCGACCTCAGCAGGGCCTGAAGATGCTGAGGGAGTGTCTTTTCTCTAGGCTCTGAATCTCAGGTGGCTCTGAAAGGTCCCTGCCTTCGTTATAAGCTAGATGACGCTTTCACAACAGGAGCTAACGTTAACAACAGCAATGGTTAGCATTTGTATAGCACTTTAAAGTTTGCAAAGAGCATTGTGAGTATTATCCTAGGAGGTGGGTGCTATTAGTGTCCCCATTTTGCAGTCGAGGAAACTGAGGCCAACAGAGGTTAAGTGACTTGGCTAAGTTCATATAGCTAGTGAGTGTCTGAGGCTGGATCTGAGCGCAGTTCTTTCTGATTCCAGGTCTGGCATCTGTCCACTGCCCCAACCAGCTGCCTCTATAGTTCTGTATAGCCCTTTGTTACAAAGTGGTGTGTGTGTGTGTGTGTGTGTGTGTGTGTGTGTGTGTGTGTGTGTG